TTTTAATAAAAATTAGTTGTAATTTAAAAAAGTTTTATAAGTAATATATTTCAATTTTATATAAAAATTTCAAAATATCATATAAACTATATATAAATAATCTATATATCTTTTATCCTTAAGATCTTATTATTTTTTTTAATTTAAGAAGTTTATACAATATGATTTTTAGAGTGTTTATAATATAGTTCATTAATTTTAAAAAGTATTTTAAAAATAGTTTGTAATACTAATTTGTAAAAAATATTAAAGTTTTAAATAATTTTAATTAGAAATTTAAGTATGAGTTCTTTGAATATAATATTAAGATAGAATAAGTTTTTATTAAATAGTATATGATAAAAAGTTTTGTAATTTTGAATTTTTTAAATAAATTCTTTTAGTTAAGATTTAGAGGGATCTATATTGTTTTAACTAATATGTTTAAAAAAATAGTATTTTTTATAATATTAGTAAGTAAGAAAAAATGCATATATAATTCATTTAATAAAATTTTTATTTTAAAATATTTGTGATAATTAAGCCTAAACTTAGTTATATTATATATAGTTTTTGGTTATAGTTAATATATAGTCAGTTGAATCTCTAATCTATTTCTAAAATAAGTAGATTTTATTCTTAATTATATTTTAAGATAATTATATTGCCAAAATGTAAGCTTTGTAAATATTTTTAATATAAATTCTAGTAAAGTTTTTTATAAAATATTAATTTCAAAACAGAATAGATATAAGTTGTAAATATTAGTATAATTAAAGTATAAACTAAAAAAAAGATTATGTTGTTTAGTAAAAAAATTAGTAAGATTATTTAGAATATTATTAGTATGACTTATATTTTATAAAAGTTAATTTGTAGATTGTAAAATTTGATAATATTAAATAAGATATGCTATATATACTATGTATTAAATTTAAAAAATTTATTAGGATTAAAAAAAATATTATAAATATTAGAGTATTTAGTGATAATAGATTGAAAATCTATATAGATATTAATTATTACATTTTGAGGTGTAGTAAAGATAGATAAGAAAATAGCTATTAGTTCTGTTTTGTAAGATAATGACCAAAAGTATATCTTAGTAAAAAATTTGTAAATAATTTAATTATTATTATTAATCTAAAGCTAAACAATGTCTATTGTATTTGATCAATTTCAATATTAATTACTAAGCCACCAGTATAAAAATTAAATTATTGTTAAAAATTATTAAGAATTAAATATTATTCAAATGTGTCTGTTGCTTTATTAGTTTTGAATATTTTAAATATATAAGAGTTAGGAATTGAAATTGTTAATGCTGAAGGAATTGACAGTAGACATTTAATGACTGTTAAATAAATAAAGTCTATATAGTTAGTATTAAAGTTTACTAAATTATAATTAATTTTTTTTAGAAATTAAAAAAAGATGATAACAGATATATTGATTGTATATAAATTTTGAATTCTGTTAAAGTTTAAATAATAGCATAATTAGGATATGCATTAGGTTGATAAAAGAAAATAATAATCAGAATAATTTATATCAATATTTGTTTACCAATATGTAATAAATATTTGTAAATTTTACTAATAATAATCTTATTGTTATTATATATAAGTAACCAGAGTTTGGATTTTTTAGTATTATTAGTTGTTTTTAGAATTTGTCTATAACTTTAAAATTATTATCTACTAATCTTAATTCTGTATAACTTGTTAATTTGAAAAAAATTATAATATTAATAGTTTATAATTTATTTATATTAAGTTATAAATAAATATTTCTTTTAAAAAGTTCATTTGTGAATTAGATAAAGTTTTAAGTACAATTATATATAATATTGTATATAATTGTATAAGCTTACCAGAAGTATATAAAACTGTTCTTTTATTTTCTAACTATTAAAAATATAATATCAAATTTTTACTAATTATTTGAATATTAACTAAATTACTAAAAAAAATTCATTTGATTACATCTATGTATTTTGTAAATTTAAGTTAAAATTACTTAATGCATTTATTAATATCTCTATTTCTACTTGTTCATCTTTGTATTGATTTTTGAGAATCACATGTTTGACATCAGATCTAAAATATGTTATATTATTTATAATTTGCATATATCTTATTATTTATATCTTTTTTATTATAAAATTCATCAGATACTAACTTATACTCATTGTTTTGAGTTAGTTCATATACTTTAAGATTCCTATTTTTTAACTGTTCATAATCTGTAACTTGTTAAAATTTAAATATATATATATATAATATAATAATAATGGATTATTAATATTTCAACTTACTTTTTTTAATATTTTCAACTTTATAGAATAATATACTTGATTATGTATATTCATATTTATTATTTTTAATTTTTTTGTTCATAATTTTGAATTCCATCTAGCAAAAGTATTAATTCTTTATTATCAATATTTTAAATATTAACCAGACTATTAAAAAGAACCTATTTGATTACATTATGATAAAATGTAGCTTCAAATTCTTTAATATACTCATTGATATTCTTATTTTTACTTGTCTATTCTTGTATTGTCTCTGAGGGTTGCATGTTTAACACCAAGCATAAGATGTGTTATATCATTTGTAATCTATACATATTCTGTATTCATAATCTCTTTTATAACTAAATTCATTAAATCCTAATATATACTCATTTGTGACTGTATTTTAGGTTAATTCATAAATACTTATATCCTCTAATTGGCTCAATTGATTCATTAATTGCTATATTAGATATATAATAGTATATTAACATACAAATTAAACATACAGATTAAATAAACTACATGTCTGATAAAATAACATAAACTTTTAAAATTATTTCACACTTGTGTCAATATTTTAATTTCCACTTTACATGATGATAAATGTGACTGTATATATTCCTATTTATTGTTAACATATTCATAATTTACATAACGCATTCTGTCTAATCACGTAACTAAAAATCCATCATTATTCTTTTGAACGTTAACTAAACTATTAAAAAGAATCATTCGACTACATCTTCATCTTTAATGCAATTGTCAATATCCTTATTTTCACTTGTCCATCATTGTATTGTCTTCTGAATGTGACCAAGCATAAGATGTGTTATATCGCTTGCAATTTGCATATGTTTCATTATCTTTATTTCTTTTAAAACCAAATTCGTCAAATACAAACATATATTCATTTGTTGCAATGTTTTGAGTTAAACCGTAAATAAGTTTTCATCTGTATGTTACGTGTATAGTTTTGTTAACTATTATATTTGCTTTCGTTCCTGGTATCTAGCGCGACTGCGTCGCGTAGTTACCTTATTTATTATTGATGTGAGCTTATTACATTCTACATAGTTATGTAATTAGAAATTGCATATGGTACTTTTTCGTCTATATGCGCTTAATTTTTCCTAATTTTTATATGGTGCTTCTCTATCTATGTGTAGCAGACTATATCTGCAAATTCCGTTCCTGGATATAAATCGACAGCATGGTAGGCTTTGATTTTGATTTGATCGAATGGCTGATCGAATAGTTGTTTCTTAACGACAAAATATACTGTCGTCTATTGGACCGTATGAAGTTATACTAGTAGCTGGTAAAGTTTTATGATGAAGCTAAATAATGTTGAAGTTACAAAATATCATTAAAAAATACGTATATAGTTTATATTTTTATAATAAAATTATTGATAAAACTATCTAAATAGAAAAAAAACTATATATTTGATTTAAATAAATTACAAAACTCTAACATAGCCATATTAAATTCTTTTACTTTATAAAAGTTAATATTTTATTAAATAAATCAATATTAGCATGCTAAGTAAAGACGTTCAAAAGGTCAATATATTTATTCTAAAAGTTTGATATAAATTAAGTAGCTTTTTATTAATATAGGTTTGATTTTGCAAATATTGAAAACCAGTCTAAATCTTGATTCTGAACCAAACTAGGTTTAACTCATGTATGGAACTTATTATATAAGAACTTTGGTTCTTAGGTTTTTAATTTGGAACCTAAGGATTTTAGAAGCTAAACCATGCCCAAACCAATTTTACCATCTCTAGACTAAAGGTACAATAATCCTTCCGCTGTACCTTCAGACTTGCAATAAAAAACTTTCTCATACGCTTTCCTAAAATCTTCAGCGATTACTTTCATGCGACGTTCCCGTAGAGCAAGCAAATCTGCCTCAGTGCAAATAGACTAAATTATGTAGAAAGTAAAATAAATACACATTAATTATGTTTGCCCCTTTAAGGCCTAGATTTTCTCAACAAATTTACCTTAATGTCAGCATCGCTCAAATCATCTTTAGACATTACAAATTCCTCAAGATCCTGTCATTCTCCCGTATGAATTTAAAAATACGACGTTTCGTTTTTACGTCTGGAAGTGGAATGTCTAATACTTCCCGGGCAAATCAGAGCAGGATCTAATAATTAAACACGATTTGTTGCCATGATGACCTTTATAAATATAAAAAATCGAATTAATAATTTATTTACATATTAATATAAGCAGGAAATTCCCACAAGCTAGTTAACCTTGACATCTCCTCTAGAATCAAACCCGTCTAACTGATTCAAAAGTTCTAACATAGTTATTTGAATTTCCCTTTCACCACTGAATTGGAATCATATCTATAATTAAATGGTGTCAATTTAAAAAATAATAATAATAACTATAGTAAATTAATAAAATAATAATAAAATAATAATAAAATAATAATAAAATAATAATAAAATAATAATAAAATAATGCCAATTATAATTATAAATCCAATCAGAATAAGATTAATGTCTATATACCGTTTAGTTCCAATAGCATCAAATTCATCAATAAATACGATGGAAAGCGCATGTTCTTCGGCAACACGAAATAATTTGCGTACAAGTTTTGGTCCATCTCCAAGATATTTTTGGATCAATTCTGAAACCATAACACACAAAAAAGGTCAGATGTTTGATTCGCCACGGCTTTAGCAAAAAGTGGTTTACCTGAACATACAGAGATATTTACTATTGATCTGTAGATACCTTGTTGATAGAAATATTGAATTTAGCTGTTCCCGGGACCCATATAGGATAACATCTTTCGGAGGTTCAGTCCCAATTTCCTCATAAATTTCTGGACGTTTTAAGAGTAATTCTACGATTCTTTGATTCCTTGAATTTGTTGTTCCAAAACACCAATATCTGCATGTAATTCTGTAGGTGCTTTCTCAAGTTTCATAACACTAACCATTGGATCAGTATCATCTTGAAGTACACCACCACAAATATAGCCTATTAAGTGTGTATGTTAAATAAGTAGACCAATAAAACAACAAATAAAATATGCGTTTTTGTATATACTTTATGATGTAACAAAATTGAACATCTACAAATGATAAGATGCTGACATAATATTCTGGTCTCGTTGAAGAAACTATTGCACGATTATCGTCAGTGATATTTTCCAGAGATTCCACACCCATTGAGGAACCACGTAAATCCACCCGGGTTTTTTCTTCCTGAGAATAGTCAACATTATCATTGTCAAAAATATTTTTATGATATTAAAAATTATGAAAATTCATTGTACACGGGTATATACACCCCGTGTACAATAGTAATTATAATGAAATAGAACAGACTTGTGCTTTTTCTTCTTGTGGTTTTAATCTTTCTTGATTTTGAACAAACTCTCCTCTATCAATAAATAATCGTTTATACGTTCCATTTTTAAAAGTTTCAGTCGACACCGGGATTCACGGCTTATATACCGGCAGGTAATTTAGACGTTGCGTAAAGGTCTCTCTCTCTCTTTTTTTTATAAATATGAGTTAGAAGTGGTGGTTCCCATTTCTTTTTCTTATCTTTATGATTTAGTACCAAAAGGAATAAAAGTATTATGAAAAATAAA